AGAAGAAAATAATGAGCTTGAGTGAGAGATTGAGAATAGTCTTGATAAGAGATTTCATAGCTGTAGCTGATAATATTATATGAAATGAATCAGCTATAATTAACTGATCTGAACTCTGAGTTCTGTATTATCTGAAACAGCAGCTCTTGACTGATGAAAACTGCTTCTGAAAGAAAGAAGTTAATATGACAGACTGCATCTGATCAATTATATAGACTATTTTATTACACTTTATAGATTCTTTCACTTTACTTCATAGATTCTTTCACTTCACTCTTGAATATATATGCTCTGATTCTCAGTCATTCTTGATCACTGATTCTCAGCTGCTATAAACACATATAGATTCTTCTACTCTGAAGCTTCACTATATACACTATTATATACATGTATAAATATTCACTCTGATTACTGATTTCTACACTTTCTCTTTCTATTCTTCTCTAATGTTTTTCTCTTTGTTATATAAGATCTATTAATATTATACTGATCTATTCAGCGTAGACCTCTTACACTTTGCATGTTTTTTTAATAACTAGTCTTAGTGAGATTCATATTAAGAAATATATAAGATCAGATTAAATAATATTAAATATAAAATTTATAATTTCAGTAACTAGTCTAACTGAGATAGTATGAAATTACTATGTAATCTTAAAACTATGTAATAGAATTAATTAAATTAATAATAAGATTATGAAATATTCTGATTTTAATAAACTGGCTGCTAAGACTATGAATTTTATATTTAATTTCATTTAATCTGATCTTATACATTTCTTAGCATAAATCTCACTGAGACTAATTATTAAAAAAGCATGCAAAGTAACTATTCATCAGATCTCAAATTAACATTATAACTTAGAATAAATAAGAAAGTGATCTTATTTAATCTTATTTAATCTCATATTCTTAATATAAAGTTACTATTTTTGAACATTTTAAGGTTTTTTTTAGACTATTTTTTAATTTTTTTAAAAGTAACACTTTTTGATAATACTTAAATAAGATTTAGAGTTATTTAAAGCAATAAAAAGAATTTAAATTAAGAAGTGACAATCATAATCTCATTTGAAAAATGTGATAAGAGTAGACAGTAAGTCTTACTAAAATAGTATAAGACTATTATCTAATCTTAAAATCATGTAATAAGATCAATTAAATTGATAATATAATTATCAAATATTCTGATTCTGATTTCAGACACAGTTACACATAGACTGGCCGCTGAGACTATGAATTTCACATTTGATCTCATTTGGTCTGATTTCATACATTTCTTGGCGTGAATCCCGCTGGGACTGGCTATCAAAAAAACATACAAAGTGACTATATATCAGGTTTTAAAATGAAATCATGACTTGAAAAAAATGAGAAAGTAATCTCATTTGATCTTATTTAGTCTCATTCTTGATATAAAGTTACTATTTTTAGACATTTTAAGATTTTTTTTAGACTATTTTTAATTTTTTAAAAAGTAACACTTTTTGATAATGCTTAAATAAGATTTAAAGTTATTTAAAGCAATAAAAATAATTTAAATTAAGAAGTGAAAATTATAATCTCATTTGAAAAATGTAATAAGAGTAGACAGTAAGTCTCACTGAGACAGTATAAAACTACTATCTAATGTTAAAACTGTGTAATGAGATCAGTTAAATTGATAATGAAACTATTGAAAAATCTGATCCTGGTCTCAGACACGGTCACACAGTCAGTCTAGTTACACAGTCAGTCTACATTCAGCTCTAAATATCTGAATAATTATCTATGAGCACTTATTCTTACAGTTACTTTGTATGTTTTTTTAATAATTAGTCTCAGCAGAACTCACACTAAGAAATGTATAAAATCAGATTAAATTAAATTAAATGTGAAATTTATAATCTTACTAACTAGTCTAGTTACAAAGTCAGTCTAACTTAGATAATAAAATGAATAAAAATATACATTTATTTCTCTTAAATTTTTCATATATTATTGTAATCTTGCTTAATATCTGATTTTGAAAATATCTGAGAACTTGCTTCTCACTTAGTTTGAACTTATTCAAATTAAAATTAACTTCTTTAATTCTCTGTTCTTTTATAAATGAATAATTCTCTTTCTTATCATGTAAAAATTTGTGAGATAATAATAAATCATAATATAAATTTTATTCATTGATTACGTAGTCTTCACAATGAAAATAAAGATAATAAAGTGAGAGAAGAATATGAATATTGACAACAAAACAAAGTCAAATTCAGCTGAAAACATAAAAGAGAAATAGAGCCGGGAATATCAGATGTGAGAAAATACAGGTGACTGCATCTTCCACTTCTCAAATCAGCTGAAAAGAAATTGCTCCATCATATAAACCTATCAGAAATGAAGAGATATTTATCATGTTTCATCTTAGCAGGTGGCAGTGGGGAGAGGGCGAGGAAAGTGAGGCGGGCCGCGGGTGAGAGTGAGGAGGGTCAGGACAGGTGAGGAACGTGTGAGGCTAAATGGCAGCAAGACGCTCGCACGAACACGGAGGGGGAAAATCTACATCTTCCAAAAATTACCCAGGTAACCACTGTACTAGCATATATTGTTACAAAGTCCTATCAATTTCTGATGTTACAGAATAACTGCTAAACACAAGGTTGGGTGGCGGATGATGCAACAGGGTAGGGAATACCAAAATAGAGCGGCACAGCGCAAAGCGGATCACTCATACAATTTGAAGAAAACAGAGATGGGGCAGATAAAATGGGAATTATCAAAGGCAAGTTAGGAGTATGAAAGGATTAAAATTCTGTGAATTAGTGTAGTTATATATTATCACAGTTCGCTGTGGCCAGTTGGTTCTTCCTTTTCGAATTCATTCTTCTCTCCCTGCTCGAGTTCCTTCTCAGTTTCCTTCTCAGGCTGCTTGTCGGTTGCTTCCTTCCTGGGCTCCTTCTTCTCCTTCTGCTCCTCCTCGTCGGGTACGATACCCTCGGGTAGCTTAGTTTTGGCTCCTTCACCCATACGAATCGCATCAATCCATGCCTCGAGTTTAGTGACGCTCCAGTCACCATCAGCTCCAGCATCATAGTGTCGCCACCAACCTCGCTTTACATTCAACGCGATGATATCAATCGCGACATCACGCTTCAGCTCCAGCTTACTCCTTAAGAAGCCAACGTCTTTTACAGCGTCCGGCAAGGTATAGAAGGGGAACAGGTGTGATTTCCTCAACGAGTGTTTGTGGGCGATCTCAGCAAGGCTGTTGAGGGCCTGAACTGTTCCCGGTGCAGGCACGGTATCAGCGGATATCTTCTCTGGCATTGCCACGAGTGCGAGGACACAGGTTCCTGTTTTCGGAGCAAGACAAGCCTCTCTCAGTTTTGAGTCTGTGGATATAGTTGGTATGGGAGGGGTCTTGGGTTGCGTGGAAGCAGAATCTGTAGAACTAGGCTCGGAAGACTCGGTAGTTTTGGATGTAGTGGTGGCATCATCATCATCACCAGAGTCGGACTTCGACTTTTTGGATTTGGTCGGCGCGGGATCTGGATTAGGCTTCGCTACTCGGCTGAGGAACTCGGATATGGGTTGTTTTTTCATCTCTCCATCGTAGGTTATGGGTTCCTTAGTCCCACCAGGGAGAAGTACAAGCGTAGGGAATTTGTTGACACCGAACGTTTCCACCGCTGATGTCTCCTTGTTACGAATTTGGGCGATGCTGATTGATCCTAGATAATCTATTGCCAATGATCGGAGAAGGGCACTAGTGGAGCCTTTCTCCGTGAATAGGATAAGTTTTGCAGTGTCATTGGCTTCCTGAAGCCAACCGTCGATGTTTTCATCCTGAAGTCGTTTGATATGATTCGGTATCATCTCCACAACGTAGTCAACGATAGCCTTCGCTGTTCTGGGCCCCTGATAATCATCGACTCGCGGCTTTCCTGGATGCTTCGACGGCGTTATCACCTTAAGAGTAGGAAATCCTTTGACTCCCATCTGGCGACAGAACTGCTTGTTCGAATCGTCATCGCAATTAACAGCAGCAACTTTAACTAATCCTTCAAGACTTTTGGCTACTTTTTCGTATGCTGGCTTAAGGTTCTTGCAGTGCCCACACCATGGAGCATAGAATCTGGAATACGCACATGCAATAAGACACAAGCTCAGGTAACTCCAGGGAGGTGGAAAGCTTACTCTACAATCTTAAGAATTGGTCAATTCAATTGCACTTGATGCCAATGATATTGGATGACTTACAGAAGCATGGTTAGATTTAGCGATCAGGTTGTTATAGTTGATCTCATCAACCTGCAGAACCGGAGAGTTCCTGGTATAGAGGCCGTTAGCAATTAACGGCAGCGTCTCCAGAAATGCTGCAATTAGCAGGATGGCGGAGCTCTTTTTGAACATGGTGGAGCTCAATATCAGAAGCACACAGTAGTTAGGTCTAGCTTGAAGAGTGAGGTACTCATAAAGAACAATAATACAAAGTTCATTCCAATAAGGTTCACCAGAGACAGAGAGAGCTAGGAGTTAAAGGGATCTTTATAGCTGCACTCCGTCCTGACCACCTTGTCGTCCTGACCACCTTGTCGTTTTGCGCAATCTGTCCAGTTTGTTGTTTGGCGGCGGAAAGTTCTGCCGCTTATAGCCACGTGACATACCGCTGACCAATTGCTGACAAAACATCCACTCACCTCTAGCTCGCGAACAGCTCTATTGCCCCCAATGCGGCCTTTAGTTGAGACTAGTTAACGCACCCCCTCGAGCGTTTGACATGACCTTACTGAAGTCTGGCCTTAACTACGGAGTACATGCAGAATATTCACCTAAGTTCCAGGCTTCTACCTCGTGCCACTGTGGGAATTTCATAGCAGCCATTTAACATCAAAACCCGATCGAATTTTTGAGGACTGCTTTTTGGACTTACGACGATGGTCTAATTGTATTTTGTCTCGCGGGATGATATGTGCTTCCTGGTGCTGGACCTGGAAACAAGCAAGGTATTCACAGTACCCTTTGACATGGATAACAGGGTGATGCGAAAAATGCGCCTTCAGCATCGATTTCTTCTCATCGAATGGGCTGAGGCTGATGCATTCAACTGGTTGAATGCCTTGGATAGTGTCCATCACCATTTTGCTTCATCATTCGATATTACTGCTGTATCCCCAACTTGCGAGTGGGAGATTACTTTTCGTAACGAATAATAATGGAAGATCATGTTCCCTTGGGCACCCCTAAGCGATCGTGATAGGTTCTATTCCTCACATAATGGAACTCGTTACGTTTTATATACTTGGCAACCCAATCGCAGTTTATACACTGCCGACGAGGATGCACCTATCGAATCTTTATTTGTATGGGACATGCCAGAACCGTCGGATTATCGGGCTTCAATAGACCCTTCAAGTCTTCATAAACCCAGCTCCTCAGGGCCCTTTGTAGTGGCGAAATTTAACTTACGAGACTTGGACTTTTACTCTGTTCGACAACGTGGAGCACCCAAAATGATTCGATTGGACATCGATAGCGAAACTAACGTACTGGACATCACGGAGAGTATAAATCCTGAATACCAGATCGAGCTTAGCAATATGCCCGATGTCCAAGTCACCAGTATCCCCTTCCTTAGCCACGGCCCAGTCTGGCGACGGCATCTCGAACTCCGCATTCCTCCATATCGTGGCAATACTAGCATGTATAACCGTTCTATCCGAGGTCCCTATTTCTAGTACATGAATATCCCTAAAGCCATTGATGAAGAGGCACAAGTTTCTTTTAGTCTACAAACCTCCATCCCAAGCTACGAAGATTACAAAAGTGCCCCACGCATGGAGGTTACAATTCGAGCACCACACCTTGGTGACTAATTCTCCAGACTTGAATCACGTTTATTCCCTGAGGTTGCCTTCAAGGGCTTTATTCAGGGAGATGAGCGTTTTGTCATTGGGGAAAATGAGGCGTAGGAGCTTGTTGTCTTACGCTTCGATCGATAGAAAATATGCCCGACTTGCGCGAGAAGATTTTACACTTCCCTACAAGAAGCAATGTTTATCGCCAGACTTCTAAATCATAACCTGGTTGGAGACGAACCTAATGTCCGTTTGCAAGTAAAGAGCTCACATCGGGGCGCGATGTCTAGATTGGATGTTAAAATTGTGGAGAGTTTCTGTTGTATCCATTTGGCCGTTTAGGACACTGAGGAGCCGAACTGGGAGCGGGGCCTGAAGAAACTGGCATTAATATAAGCTGCTTCCCTGATTTTCCAAACCCGAACGACGCGTTCGGAAAAAATCAGAAAGTATACGAAGCCTTCATGGGAATGGGCTAAATTTGAAAGCATTGGTGCTGGGTGTTATTTGATTTACGAATCCTTCTGTTTTCATTTTCTTTGAAACTCCTATTATCAGAACTGAAGCCCAGCAAATAAAAGATGATGCACGTGTCTTGGTGGGAACAAATGAAACCTTCATAGGCCTCTAGGAAATGCATGGATCTGAATTATGAATCCTAAAGATGAACATATAAGTTTCCCAGATCCTTGAAATTTGCGGCATGTGGTAGCAAACACAATCACTCAGATATATCACTCACTGTTTATTTTGAGTTCTTACATCTAAATATCTGTTCAATTTGGCTCAATGAGAGTACATACTCTGCAAGTAGCATATGAACATGATATGATTATCCATGTATAATTTTTTGGAGAAACAGTGCATGAAGAGACAGTAGAAGAGTTCATTTGAGTGACATGTAGTCAAGGAAAGTGTGATGCACCTATATACACAACTGAGAATTATATTTAATTGAATAACAACAGAGGACCCTATCAGTTAGAAGATGAAAAAAGAAGATTTGATTTTACAAGATTTTCAACAAAGGATTTCTAGATACTAGCAGTGGTGGTGCAGTGGTAGTTGTGGTGGTAGGTAGTAGTAGTGGTGTTGGATGGTGTGTTAATGGAAAGGAAAGAAAAAATCTACATATTAATAAAGGACCGAGTGAAAACCCGGCATTGCTAGTTTTTCTTTTTCTCTATTGTCGTCTCCAATCCAATACATTGTCGGGCCTGCTTGTTTACATATCCTCACTGGCAGTGGCACCAGTGATAATCTCGACTAGTTCGCCGGTAATGGCGGCTTGACGCTGTCTGTTGTAAAGAATCTGGAATCTGTTGTTGGAGGAGGAAAAGAAAACGGTCAACAAAAGTGTTGCGGAATAGAGCGAATAAAACTATGAAAGAATGGGTATTAGAAGTTCCGACTTACCGTTGAATCATGTCACCGGCGTTCTTAGATGCGTTCTGTAGTTTTTGAATCAAGTTAGGTTTGGTGAGGGTTACAGGTTGGGGGAGGGGATGAATGGAATCTATCGGGTAAAAGTGTCAACACATACGTCCATAGCATTGCGACGAGCCTAATAGTTACGCAAGTCAGTAAATTACCATCATTCAGCGGAATGACAAGGCAGTTCATTCATTCACTTACAGAGATCTCGCAAGCATGTCCTTCGGCAAGAGCCCAGAACAAGCTGTTTGCAAGAGCATATTCTCGGAGATTGGCGAGAGCTTCGTCGTCAATTTCGAAGGCGGAAATGTTCGCTACATTGGAAGTTGGTAAAAGAAAATCGTTTACAACTTCATCTTCATTTCTGGGTTTGTCCGTGGCGTGGATGGGGTAGATCCGACTTACGGGATTGGGTGATAGCCTCTTCCGAATAAGCTTCGACAACAACAGGTTCGTAGGTCTGAGCGTTGACGAATTTGTTGTAGATAATCTTAACACTGGCGTAATCGGTTGGCAGCTGAGAAATCTGGTCTGCAATCGCCTGAGCTTCAGCGAAAGTTGGGATATCCTTCCCGACATTGGCGAAGCTCAAAACCATGTCTTTCTCGTTGGTTCTGGCGAGCTGGCCCTTGGCCTTGTCGCCGAGAACAACAATATCAGCGTTAGGCTGGTCGAGCATCATCCTTCTTGTAGCTTTGCTCAATCCGGAGTGAATGCCTCCACACAGACCCTTATCCGAACTGGCGACAACGAACAGAGTCTTCTTATCTTCGAGGGGTTTGGTTTCGGCGTTCTCGAACACGGTATTGGATGTTTGACCGTAGGCCCGCGAATCGGCCATGGCTCTCTGGGCCTTGTTAAGACGAGTGGAAGCAACAATCTTCATGGTCTTGGTGATTTTCTCGATGTTCTTGATGGACTTCAGCCGACCCTCAATTTCACGGAGTGTCGCGAAATTTGCAGAATTGGCAGGGGCGGCATTCCTTTTGTTGTGTAAAATTACAGCGTCAGTCAATCCCGTATCATCTCAGCGCAATTCCGTGATATCCACGCTCCGATATCAATGACCTGGGTTGAGTCAATTGTGGGGGAGGGGATATGGGCGACATAAACCGTACCGTGCAAGAATTGCACTGCCAGCCTGGAGAGCCGGACGAGCAGTTCGAGAGAGCATTGTGGGGATATGGGGAAGTAGTCAGGGCAAATTGAGTCCTGGCAATGGAGGGTAGATACACAGGATGCCGAATACAAGGCCAATTGAGGAGAGGCGCGGACAGAGATGTGCTTATACGACAGTCAGTTCCTTGTGTCTGGTGCGAGTGTTCGGAAAGTGGACGTCGGAACAGGAAACTCCACTAGCCCGAAATCAGACTAGTGTAACCTTGGCAGGAGGCACAACCACAGCCAATCAGAAGCCAGAGTCCTCAGCCTCTTAAACTTCGTCTTGCCCTCGTCTCTTCCTCTCTCCTCTCTCATGCTGTCCCGCCGTATTGTGCTGTTGTTATCGCGGTGTTTCGGCTTCGAGAAGACCATCGAGACTCGCTTCCCTCACTTTTTCTGTCTCTATTGATCAGTAGTACCTCTCACTTCACCATTGCTCGCCCTTTTGCCTCCGTGTTCTGGGCCTTTTCCCTTCATTGCCCATCAAGGCATTTACGTGTCTCTAAATTGCCCTCGAATTTCCGACACATACGCCGCTGCTTGACCCGTCAACAGACGTCGTACGCGGCTCAGCGGCGAGTCATGAGCTCCTCAGATGATGATGTGCCTCTGGTTGGCAAGCGGAGATCTAACGGACAGTCCGGGGGTGAGTTTTCTCTCTTCATTGGGTTCTACGGAGTAGTACCCTTCCCCTCGGGCATGGAACCGTTTTGTTGTCAAATCTTCCTTTTTCATCCTTGAAACCCTCGTATATTATCAAGCCATAGCATTGTGATGAGCCAGCTCATGTTTTTCCGGAGCTTGAACTGATGGCATAGCTATTCAGCAATACATGCGCTCTCAGATGAGCTGATTTCGAAGTCCACTGATCCATCTGTTAGCGCCTCCCCGAAGGCAAATGGATACGCAAAACCCGGTTTGTCCATTCGCCATGGACTGGTCGACTCCGAGGACGTTGAAATGCAGGATGCCAACGTGAAAGGGGCCAGTCTAAGCAAGCGGAAATCAAGAGGAAGCGATATGATGCGGAAGTCGTATGCGGAACCTGAGAGCAGTGAGGAGGATAAGCCATTGGTACGCCATGATTCTCTTTTCAATACACTACCATTCTCCCAACCACCCACCCCCTTCAAAAACCGCGTCGGGAGTATTTTTGTTATTGGCAGAGCATGGCTGACTCTGCATTAGAGCAAGCGGCGTCGCGTTTCAGCAGAGCAAAGAATAAATGATTTCGATTCCGACGATGCCCCCATCATATCCAAACTGGCAAAAGGAAAATCTGAAGCAAAGGTAGTCACTATGGCAGAGTCTGCCACGGATGGTTCCCTTGGTAAAATCCTCATGGCCGAGAAGACTAGGATCGAAGAACGGGCCGGAAAGGAAGCGAAAGCGATTCGCAAGCATGAAAGTGCCGAAGCAACAATAAAGAAAAAGATTGCAGCCACAGCCGCTGCGACGGACAAGGGCACGAAGGGCAAGAAAACACTTGTAAATGGCATTAAAAAGTCGGAATCCAGCGATGAAGATATTCCGCTGGCCCGGAAAGTGCCCGCCAAGAAGTCCGTGAAAGCGTTTAAATCGGAGCCTGCAGATACAAAGAAGGGGAAAGCCAAGGTTGCAATGAAAAAGGAGTCTAGCGAAGAACTGGAGGGGGAGGAAGCAGAGGAGGAATATCGCTGGTGGGAGGACCCAGCACAAGGCGACGGCACTATCAAGTGGACCACTTTAGAACATAATGGTGTCATATTCCCACCTCCATACGAACCACTGCCTAAACATGTCAAGATGAAGTACGACGGCATTCCGATTACGCTAGCTCCCGAAGCTGAGGAAGTCGCTGGGTTCTTCGGGTCCATGCTTAACTCCACTCACAATGTTGAAAATCCTACATTCCAGAAGAACTTCTTCACTGACTTCACCGCCTACATTAAAAAGTCTGGTGGTGCAAAAGACCCGAACGGAAATCCAGTGGCTATAAAGTCATTTGATAGTTGTGATTTCAAACCAATCTTCGAGTACTACGAGGCCGCGCGTTTGGAGAAAAAGAACCTCCCAGCTGCGGAGAAGAAACGCCTCAAGGCCGAAAAGGACGAACTTGAAGCTCCGTACATGTATTGCATGTGGGACGGTAGGAAGCAAAAGGTTGGCAATTTCCGCGTCGAACCGCCTGCTCTATTTCGCGGCCGTGGAGAACATCCAAAGACTGGCAAAGTGAAGACTAGAGTCATGCCAGAGCAAATCACCATCAATATCGGCAAAGACGCCAAAGTCCCACCGCCTCCCCCAGGTCACAAGTGGAAAGAAGTTAAACACGACCAAGAGGGGACTTGGCTAGCTATGTGGCAGGAAAATATTAACGGCAACTACAAATATGTCATGCTTGCTGCGAATTCAGATATCAAAGGTCAGAGCGATTACAAGAAGTTCGAAAAGGCTCGGGAACTCAAGGTATGTTTCACGTGGTTCTTATATTGCATTTGCCTTCGTTTTACTAATATATTTTACCTAGAAACACATTGATCGGATTCGTAAGGATTACAAGAAAAGCCTAAAACATGAACTCATGTCAGAGCGACAGAAAGCCACTGCCGTCTACCTTATTGATCAGTTCGCCCTTCGTGCTGGGAACGAAAAAGGAGAAGATGAAGCTGACACAGTGGGGTGTTGCTCGCTGAAATACGAGCATGTCACCCTTAAACCTCCAAGTACGGTTATTTTCGACTTCTTAGGTAAAGATAGCATCCGGTTCTATGACGAGGTAGAAGTAGACCCACAAGTCTTTAAAAACCTCAAGATCTTTAAGAAAGCCCCGAAGAGGGAAGGTGATGAAATATTTGACCGCCTGACCGTAAGTCTCATCCAGTCCTAATCCTTGGATGGAGAACGCACCGTTAGATTAACTTGTTTTCCAGACTTCTGCCCTAAACAAACACCTTTCCAACTATATGCCAGGCCTCACCGCCAAAGTTTTTCGTACATACAACGCTTCTTACACGATGGCTACGCTTCTCAAAGATTTGAAGTCAACTGGCAGCATCGCTGAAAAGATCAAGGATTACAACGATGCTAACAGAAAGGTCGCGATTCTTTGCAACCACAAGCGCACTGTTACCGCGAGCCATGCAAGTCAAATGGAAAAGCTCGGCGATAGGGTATGTTAATTTCACCTGCCTGTAAGGGATATGTCCCGTCTTGCTAACATGATACAGATAAAAGGATTAAAGTATCAAGAATGGCGCGTTAAGCAGATGATGCTAGACCTTGACCCGAAGATAAAGAAGAAAAAGGGGCCTGCCTTCTTTGAGCTCGACGAAAGCTTAGACCAGGAATGGATCAAAGAACATCAGGATTACCTCGTCGAGGAGCAACGCCAAAAGATCAAGAAGAAATTCGAGAAGGATAACGAGAAGCGCGCCGCTGAGGGCGAAAAGGAAATGAAACCAAAGGAACTCGAGGAACGGCTTGAAGTCGCCAAAGCATTAGAAGCTAAGTTCAAGCGGGAGAACAAGACTAAGAAGGTGGAAGCTGAAGGGAAGGGAGTCACTATCGAAAAGTTGGAGAATCAACTCCTGAAGCTCTCGCAACGCATTGAAAACATGTCTCTCCAAGCGGAGGATAGAGAGAATAACAAAGAAGTTGCTCTGGGTACTTCCAAAATTGTAAGTTCCTATCCCATCAACTTTCGTCCCGCATTCCAGGATAGCATGCTCACTCCTCAAAATATAGAACTACATCGACCCACGTCTCACCGTGGTGTTTTCGAAAAAGTTCAATGTCCCCATAGAAAAATTCTTCTCAAAGACCTTGCGCGAAAAATTCGATTGGGCAATTAAGTCAGTGGAAGAGGATTGGGAATTTTAGGGTAGAAAAGTTTTCCGCTCCGCTCTTTGCCGTATTGTATATCTCGTTGAGTTCTATCTTTTATATATAATATAGAGCCGTTGCATTGGACAACTTTCGTTTCTCTCCCCTGAGCAATTGGAAAGAGAAAGGACAATGCGATGCGTCCAAACATACATTGACATTGACATTGTTTCCCCCTCCTTTTGTTCTACTTGATCCCTTATGCCTCTTTTAGTAAATAGATTCCATAAACATACACATATCTCATTCTTCCAATGAGCTTGTTCTTATTATTTTATTTTTTGATTGTGCCCTTTCTTGAATGTCTCAAATGCTTCGAGTATATCATCTATTTATTTTAGGGAAACCCCTCGCCCCACCCAACACTTTCTTTCTCCCCTTGCTCTCCGTTCTTCCTTGCTGAGGTTTATTTTGATATGCGACTGGACAAGAACGCCATTGAATAGAGGTATACTTGGCTTTCACAACCTGAGTATTTGCTTTACTACCTACCCTATTATTTCCCTTGTCAATATTCCACATACTCTCTTCAGGCTCTCCCGCCGCCACTCGGGCAGAAGCGAGACATAGACATCAACGCCATTGCACCGCTACTCTTGACATTGCCAGGGGACTCTGCATCAAACAACCAGCGTATCTTGTTGTAGTTTGTTGCTACCACCCGAATAATACCCCCCGTGCATGACTATTGTGCGGGTTCAGATCTAAGTATTGGTGCGGAGCATCCAGCTTTTGCTTGTGTGCCGACGGTGTCATAGTCTCTCCTGGTGGACCCCCCCAATAATCTAGTACATCTCTTTGTTTGCGATGCAAACACAGAATTTGTCAGACAGATACGGTGGGGAGATAGATGGATCAGTGGTGATGTCTGAACAATGGTTGGCACTGTCTCAAGAACAGCAACAGGGTCCCAAGGTCCGCCGCCTCAGCCGTTTCCATCAATTTGGTAACTTGATTTCAACAGTGAAAATTTGAACTTGAATGGAATAGATAGCCCAATGCAAGTGTATATGCAAGTTCAGAATCAGCAAGTGATGTTTTTTTTTTTTTTTTTTTTTTTTTTTTTTTTTGAAAAAAAGGGAATGATTGTAGATAACTGTCACCAGAAATAACAGCAAGTATTTATTCCAAGTGAGATGCAAAAGGTTGAAAATAGAAAAACAAAATAAAATTATAAAAAATATAAAAACTAAAGAAATGATATCAGAAAACTTCAGTTCTGGAGAAAAATGAACTCTGCCGATGAGCAGCAGAAGGGACATCGCAGCATTCGGGGTGAGGAAATAGAATTATCAAAAGAGGTATTTGTTTAGATTCAGCATGTTTAATCCACTCGTCGAGGAAAAATAATTTCGATCCCTTCCGGGCTTCGATTCGAACACAGCTTGTCCCTACACTTGCATTTTCAAAGCGGCAGTGCTTCCGCCCCTCCCATGTTTTCTCTTACTATCAAAACCATGTTTCAGTATCTAGCAATTCAGTAATGAAATTTCAAAGTACAAGAGAAGATGGCTGAGAACTTACGCACATATATATTCAATATATATGCACATTAAATGAGGAATAAATGACAGAAAATACAAGACATGTACCATGCATGGTAAAAGAACGGTGCGGGATCTTACATAAACCTTGTCCCAACCCCTAAATCATAACCATCTCCCCCCTGCCCCAAAACCTGACCCTAGCCTTGCTCATATCCCTCGTATCTCTCATATTCCTCAGTTTCCTTATTTCGTCTCTCTCGCTCTTCCCTCGCCTTCTCATACGCATGCGCCTTGGCTTAGCACCCAGGACACCGGGCTCCAACTATCATGGGCTTCCCAGCGAGGGTTTCGTACAAACCCCTGGATGCACGTTAACAATATCGGTATGTCCGCAGGAGTACTGAGCAGCAATATTAATGCCCATCTTTGCTCTCTTGTAGGCGTGGGAGCTTGGTGTTTATTGTTTTACCCGTGAGGGGTGACGTCGAGTGGGTTGTTGGGATCTGGAGACTCGAATCAGGTGGCTGGGAAGAAAATGTAAAATGATGAATTTGGCGACTATCTCGTTGGAGATGGTAGGAATATTGTTAGGGTCATGATGACGGAGAAGAGGGGAGAGATTCTAAAATATGAACCTCAGCTGCTCCATTATATACAGTATACCGGTGTGAATTTAGTATGTGGAGAATAATATTGGGGAATATCTTTCACATTTGTAACGTAGGGAGTTCCCTGGGTGTGGAGAACAAATATAAACACGAAAAAAAAAACAAAGACGAAGATTGAAGAGCGAATAAAGAAATGCAAATCGGCTATGGAAATATCCGTAGATGGCTCTTTGCGAGACTTTTTGTTTGGCGACAGTCACTCAAGTTATTAACAGGTGTGTCAGCAAATTCATCAATCAAGAGAGTGAGGACTGACTTTTTCGTCTCCCTTTCGGAGATACCTGGCGTGTTGGAGCCCGAGACCAGTAAACGGCGAGCCTATGTGTATCAAACTTCCGGATATCTCAACTGGTGTGTTCAGTCCGCCCAGTGGAGATTCTCCGTCGTCCGTGACTGACAGGCGTTAAACACACAGGAGTTCTACTCAACTCCTCGCATCCTTCCCGCAAGTACCTTGGATCAGGTTAAACCGCCGTTTATCTCTGGGTAGTATGAGTAGGTAGTAATAATATGGCAATTAGATGGAAGCGGCTGGCGGGAACAATCAATCAAAACTTGTATACATGTGCAGCATATTACAATATGAGCGTGACTGATGGCGCGCATAAAATCGGAGAAAAGGAAGGCAAAATAGAGGAAATACCTACCTCGGTAGGTATGTGTAAATAGGTCGACAGTACGCTCAAAGATACACCGGAGATATTTATTCCAATTATAATATTGTATTGGCGGACGGCTTCAGTAAAAAGAGAAAGAGAGGAAAGGGATAGAAATGGAATTAAAATGGGAAGGAAAGAAGACAAAAAAAAAAAAAAAAAAGAAAAAAAGAAACCCTCTTTGGCGGGAAGGAAGCGTTGGAATTAAGGAGCAGAAAGAATAACGGTTGTTTCCTGCGGCCTGGTTTTTGTTTGGTTTTACCACCCAAACCAAAAAAATAAAATCAAGAAAAGAAAAGAAAGAACAAAGGTATGAAAAAGGAAGGAAAAAAAGAAATGAAGATAAAAAATTATAAGAGAGAGCAGCAATACAACAGCAAAAAGTTTGTTATGACTTCATCGTTTGTCGAGCCGTCAGGGTTGATGCCCAGGGTGGATTCCAAAAAGAGAGAACAGAGGAGAAAGTTTGATTTCATCACGCAAGAGGGAAAGAGATATCGGGAATGGGGAAACTCTCAAGGCCACCACCCGAGTCGTTTGAAGCTTTCGACAACAGGCTGGATCCAATCTTCGTCAAGCGTCGGTCTTTCATACGTGAAGCCGGTCGTCTGCTCGAACAGCGATCCGTCAATCAAGAGGTCACCATCCTTAATAGAATCACGTTCCAGGAACGGACTTATAGGTCCAGGTCTGTCGATTTGTTTCTCATTCAGAAGCTCAGCCCATACCTGCAGTCCCTCCTCGTTCATTTCATCGATAATCTCATCCAGGTTGAGGTTCACGACTTGCGTTAGCATGGTGCCGACGAAGTTGTACTCGACACCAAAGGCCCGCTTTAGGCCTTGGGCCAGGTCCTGTTTTGTGGTTTTGTTGTGGTCTACAATATTGAAAACGATGGGATCATCACTGGCAACGGGCCCCTTGCTCGCGCGCCATTCCGCCGCTCTCCACATTGCGCGAGCTGCATCTTTGACATATACAGTGTTCATGGGTTGGCTTCCGGTTTTTAGGAAGGGGATGGGTTTTCCCAGCTCCATGTAGGCCCTGCCCATGCAAATGACAGTGCTCAGTAGACCAGTATCGTACTCCCCGTAGATATGGGGGAATCTAAGAATGCAAAGATTCAAGCCAGGGATCTTTCGCAAGTCTTCCTCCGCTTGGTGCTTCCATTTCGAGAAGGCGAACCAAGGCTTGATCTTGGAATCCTCCTTGGCTGGTTCGCGTTCACTCTTGTACACGGTGGCCGTGGAACATTCGATAAATGCACCAATTCCTCGACGGGCGGCTTCCTTCCCTAGCGCAACGGAGAGGGCATGACTTCGAAGACGGTATACGTCATCTGGTTGGGACATGCGAGACTCTCCGCCACAGTTGATAACGTAGTCAAACTGCGCACCGTTTGCGCGGTCGAAAATTCGGGGAAATGATTCTATGGGTATCCAAAAAAAAAAAGAAAAAAGTGTCAGTGAGCTCGACTGCACGTAGCGGAAATTTCGTATGAAATATGTAATATTTAATATATATGAGTGACAAGGACATACGTTCACGGCTTGCGTCAGCTTGGACAAACTTGTCCTGAGAGCAGGCAGCGCTGAACTCAGGAGTCAACCATGCTAATTGAGGTAGCAGCTTATCAACGATGCGCACCTCTGAAGCGAGGTTATTTTCGTGAATGTGAAGGGCAAGAAAGCGGCCGAGGAAGCCTATACAATTTGGTTCACACCAAGTCAGTCAGATTTTCCCCCGTTGATTCCGCTGAAATTCGGTGCAACGTCGGGGGTAAAGTTGGGGTTGTCCGTACCAAGCCCTCCCACAATCAAGATGGCAGGCTTGTTAGCCTCGCCAGACATGGTAATTCAAACAAGGATGTCGTCGTAAAAAGGAATATTTATAATCGGGACGCAAAGGAATCACCGTCGGTTATCCGCTAAATAATGAGATGGTACGTGCGAAATCGGGGGGCGGACAATGCAATAACGACTGTATCACACTGCCGGAGACACTGGGTTTGCAGTGGTCTGGGAATTAATGGAGAGGTGGAAGAATGTGCTGATCCCTTGCGACAGTCTGGGAGAAGGGTGTCTGAGCGAGAGGGATAAGGGAATTTAGCTAAGTGTGCAGGCTAAAAGCTAGCTATTTCTCTAGCTTAGACGGTATAGGAAGGTGGTGGTTACGATGGCGCGGTGAGAAACCAGAACACGGGGAGTGAGGGTATTCTTTAGCCCGCTCGGATTGTTGATTTAATTAAGATAGGTTTTGATAGAAGATATCGAAGCAGATATCGAAGCAGAGACGGACCAGCCTTCTCAGAGCGACTTGGGTAGTGATGGCAGGGTTTAAATTAATTAAGGAGAGGCGGGAGAAGCTAAAACGTAGAGAGACGGTCGGTCAGTCACGGCGAGGGCTCAGACTGTGGGGGCAATGAAGGCAAAAGATAGAAGAGGGAAAAGAGAGAGATAGAAGAGATGAAGAGAAGAAGAAGAGGAAGAGGGAGAATGAAAGATAGCAAGTAGGAAATACGATAGACTCAACCAGGGATCGAGCTGACTGTGGATTTTTGTCGAATATGTCGCTAGAAAGCACGCGCAGGTCTAATCAGGACTCAGGCTGCGTTGAACCGTAAGCAGCGGAATCGGTTGGAAACAAATTTATTTTACCATATTAACAAGGTGTGTCAGACATCCCAGCTGTCAGAGATTATCCCTTTACTTCAGCTTTAATCAGTAACTGATAATAAGTAGATGATTTATATTAAGAATCTAGTTACTCTGTGTGTATATTATTATTACATTCAGTGAGCATTTCTAATTATATAAAGAGATAGTTCTCACAGTACTTATATTTATTTTACTTAACCTGATTATATTAATATATTAAATATTATAATAATACTTAAAAAGAATTACTTTTAATTATAGTATATATAATTTTATATTTAAAAATATTTACTTTTTAATAAAAAATATATTTTAAATATAATTTCTTTTCATTTTATTATTAATAAAAATTGTATAGAAAAATAATTAAAATAATTTTTTTATATTTTTTTATAGAACTTTTATAATATATACATTTTTTAAAAATAATATAAAATATAAATATTTATAATATTAAAAAAAATAAAATATATATAATATATAATAAATATTAACTGAATACTTTATATAAGACTATATAACTTACACATCTATAGAATACTATGTTATTAGATTAGTATACAATTAATTAATCTTTTATCTTTATCAGATTATAAGCTCTTGACTGCTTTTATACTATTTTAATTATATACTTTGAAAAGAGATTAATTCTATGAGTTTTCTATAATAGTGAATAATATAAGAACTTGACAGAATAACTAGTAAATAACTAGAATTTATATTCAAAGATTAATAAAGCTTTTAAAATATAAGATATCAGAAGTTCTTAATAAGAGATATAAAAAAACTTTTTATAAAAGATATAATATATCTTAATCTTCTTTATATATAATTAAATTAACTTTATTCTTAACTATAATTAAGTAATTTATTTTATGAAATACTTAAGATCTACTTTATATAAATATTCAATTAACTCTTTAATAATTAACTAAGACTGCTTATTAAAGTTATATCAGAATTAAGAGTAAGAGTTAGAAGTTACACTGATATCAGAGTTAAAAGAGTCAGAGTTAGAGTCAGAGCTAGAGTTAGTGTTAAAGTCAGAGTCAGAACTTATAAGATGAGAAAGATGTTTTAAACTATATAAGCAGAATATTATTATGAAAAAATTTCAGAGAGAAAAGAAGCAAGAATAAGAGATATTAAAGCTAGAAGTTAGAGATTAATTAATATGATATAAAAGATCTTTAAAGAGAAAGAATTAATAAAATAACTAGATAAGATTTGTAGGTAATATTCACATCAGCTAGCAGATGCTTGAGTGCTTATAATCAGAAAGAATGTTGACTGAATACTCTATATAAAGTTATATAACTCACACATTTATAGAATACTATGTGATTAAATTAGTATATAATTAATCAATCTTTCATCTTTATTAATAAAAAAGTTTTTAAAGCCGTTGATTATATTATAAAAAGTTAACTACTATATAATTTTTTATAAAAGTATGTAATTACTGATTATATAAATCAGTAGCTGTAATAAGTATGTATTAAATAGCATAATCAGACTATTAAATACAGAGATAGATCTATTCTTCCAGGCTATAAAACAGTTATACATAGTCTGTATCATCTCAGTAGCTGATTATGAAGTGTAAGTTTAATAAAATAATCAAACAAATTTTACTGAACTCTTTCAAAGTCTGTAAAACAGAGTTTTGAAAAGAATTCTAGAAGTATTCAAATCATCTTCTATTAAAGTAATAAAAATTGAAGCATCAGTTTCTTTATCTGAAATTAGATTTGAAAAGACCTGTACAAACTATACTTTAAGAGTTATAAAAATAAGCTTAAATTATATAATCAGAGAAAGAGTTTCTTCTTTATTTTTATTAATTAACTCAGAAAATGAACTAAATTAAAATAGATTTCTTAATTGAAATGAAAATAATTCTTTAAAGAAAATGTTCTCTCAACTATACAGACTATATTCATTAACTAAGAATTAATTTTCTTTATTAAATATTAAGAAAATTGATCATGAGAAAATATCTCTCTGAAGAGAAAAGCTGAAATCTCTCATAGACTTGTAAATAAGTAAACTATTTAAAGAGAGAGAATGTAAACAGTATTTAAAAAAGATCTTTATAATTAATATAAAAGACTCAATTCTGATTTACTTAGATAACTTAAAAAATAAGAATTTGAACAGATTAGATACAGGTATTACTTATATTAAAAATAATATCAATTTTATCTCAGGTTTCTGAAATTTAGACTGTGATTCAAAGGTTGCTTAAGTCAGTGTATGATTACAGATATACGCCGGCTTCTTATATATATAATACTAAATTAATTAGTGGCTGCTATGATCTCTTTACATTTATAAGTATGTTCAGAAGTGACTATGTTATTATTCAGCAGTTATACATTTTTCTGAACTATATTCTCTCTCATCAGATTCAGTCACACTTATGTAACTCTGATATAAGCTGCTCTCAGAGAAGCTTTCACTATTTTACATTACTTATTCACTAATATTTTCATTCTTCAATTATCATCTCTGTTATTATTATTATTACATGTTATTATCTTGTACAAGATTTCTGCATCTTATCTCTTTTATCAAGATCTTTTCAATCTGTTTATTTACTACATTATATGCATTTCTGATGATAACTCTCTGTTCTTATAATAAGTATTATTATAGTACTCATATCAGATAGTTCATTAACAGTAAGTGAAACATGTTGTGAAATATAATCTGAACTTGTTTTTGTAATTCAAAGATTGCTTAAGTCAGTATATAATTACAGATATATACTAACTTGTTATATATATTATACTAAATTAATTAGTGACTGCTATGATCTCTTGACATTTATAAGTATGTTCAGAAGCAGCTATGTTATTATTCAGTAATTATACATTCTTTTAAATTACATTCTTTCTTATCAGATTTAGTCACACTTATATAATTATAATATAAGCTCTAGCTTTATGCAGATTAATACACTGCTAGTATTTATAATTATACAGTCTATCTGTGATCTATCTAGTATTCTTCTTATACTTTTACAAAGAAACTTTCACTATATTATATTACTTATTCACTAACTTTTTTCATTCTTTAATCAACTTCTTCATTATTATTATCATTGAATATTATTATCTCATTCAAGATTTCTACTTCTTCTTCTATTTAACATCTTCTATTTATTTATCTACTATATTATACATGTTTCTGATAATGACTCTCTGTTTCTCTAATAAGTATTATCATAGTACTCATACTGAGCAGTTTATTAGTAGTAAGTGTAATATGTTATGAAATATAATCAGAAGTTGTTTTCTTCTAATAATTATCAGAATATATTATTATGAATAATACATCTTCTTCATCTTCTTATACACTTTTAACTGTTTTTCTTCTCAGTGAGCTTCTGATTGTATTTTCTGACATAATTTTACATAAACACAGATGCTGATATATTTATTTTTATTTATATAGAATCTTCATGTGTTGACAGATCTGCATTCACTGATAATGATGAACTCAATATTGAATTATTAATCAAGAACTTGAAGAATATGATAATAAAGAAATTGCTTATATTATATGTGACTGAGTCTCTTATATCTCTTTCTACTCTCTCTGTTTCTTTCTCTGTTACTCTCTCTTAATCTTCTACACTTATCTCTGTGTCTGATTCTCTCACTTCTGCTACCTCTATTCTTATGATCTCTACTCTCACTACTTCTAGACTGACTGCTGAGATCATGAATTTCACGTTTGATTTCATTTGATCTGGTCTCATACATTTCTTGACATGAATTCCGCTGGGACTGGCTATTAAAAAAACATGTAAAGTGACTATATATCAGATCTTAAAATGAAACCATGACTTGAAAAAAATGAGAAAGTGATCTCATTTGATTTCATTTAGTTTCATTCTTGACATAAAGTTACTATTTTTAGACATTTTAAGGTTTTTTTTAGACTATTTTTAATTTTTTAAAAAGTAACACTTTTTGATAATGCTCAAATGAGATTTAAAGTCATTTAAAGCAATAAAAATAATTTAAATTAAGAAGTGAAAATCATGATCTTATTTGACAAATGTGATAAGAGTAGACAGTAAGTCTCACTGAGACAGTATGAAACTACTATCTAATGTTAAAACTGTGTAATGAGATCAGTCAAATTGATAATAAGACTATTAAAAAATCTGGTACTGGTCTCAG